AATATAAGATTAGAGTAATTTTTCTTCTTTAAAAAAAATCAATCAACAAACAATTAGGATGCTATATTTCTAACATATTAAACTTGCTCAAAATAAGATACATAACACAAATTTACGGGTGAACCGAAACAAACATCATAGTCTTGAACTTCAATTTTTATTAATGCAGTGGAAAAGATTCATAACTAGAATTAAAGCAACATTTATTCAAACATAAGGAGTTCCTAAGACTCCAAACAATTACTAAAATAATGCAATAAATAAGCATTCATCCTCCGGTGTTACATATCAGATCAATAATACCAAATCGAAAGTAAAATAAAGAGCAGCCTCTTCTGATCCTGGCAGCCTCAGACTACTCTTGACTATTTGTACGATGTCGTATAAAGCATCATCCCAACAGAAGGGTGAGATATCACAACAATATAAGAGAACACATAATAATGAGTATACAACAAGTAAATCATACATAGCCACATATTCCACATCTCACACCTTCACATAAAAATAATAGTCTTATTATATAATAATACACAATCATGCATAATTCATCGCATGTATCAACAATCATCATGTAGCACATACACCAATCACATAACTTAACATCATGTTAACAACAATGCAATGTAATGACACCGACTCACAGACTCAATGCATATGGTACCAATATCGTTCCTGAATCCACGCCATCTAGGACCAGAGCCACCAATATCGTGAACAATTTTGGTTTACATCATTCTCAATCCATACCATCTAGGATCAGAGCCAACCAACATCATGAACAATGAGATTCATATCACTCTCTACCCATGCCATCTAGGATCGGACCCAACAAACAGGTCTAAAGTCCACAACCTGAAATGTATGCGACACAACCATGCAACAAAATACATCATACTGATACCTACATCCATCAATATGACACATCGATACGGTCACCATCTTCCTGGACATACGACATACCAATCATACAGTCCAAACAATATCGTATAACATCACCAAGCACAAATACATGCACATATCTCAGCATAATCGATAAAATTACATACAAAAGGGCATAAATCCCCAATAAATAATCACCTACTGCATTTGAAATTATTTTTATAAGATAGAAAATATTTTTACCTTTCAGTAGATTTAAACGGTGCATCAAACTGACATCAGAGTCAAAAGATATGAATTTTTAAAGTTTCAGAAAAAACTCCGCTACAGTCTACTCGCTCGAGGCTTGCCCAACGAGTGGGTGTGTCGCCCGAGGCTTGCCCGACGAAGCACAACCAAGGCCGTCCCTTCCATACAAATTCCAAGAGTACCTCTTTTCCACCCTTTCCTTCGTCTGCTCCCTAGCCTGGTGAGGCTTGAGAAAATGTTGTCGCCCGACATAGCAATAGGCTCACCTGGCGAAGCGTGCCTGGAAGTAACTTTCTGTTGCAATCTCTACACTAGATCAGACCTAATTCCCATACGATTCCAACACAGTCTTGTCCCAAAGCTTACCAAATTCTACATGTTTTCACAATACAACAACACATCATGATAGGCATTATACACATCAAATCATGGCAAAACAACATCATATATTTCATCACTAACTCATCATGTCATCAAATTATCACAAAACCCGAAAACAAACCTAAACCTCTACCAATAGTGATAAACAGATTACCCCTACATAATCATCATTATACAAATCCTTAGAGAGCTGGAACCCCACAATTACCTCGGATTGGCGGTTCCTAAGCTTCAACAATAGATTCTCCTTTGCCCTGGCTCTTTCTTACCTCCTTGCTTTCTCTTCTCTCCAAAATACGATCGTACAAAATGATACGATTTCCTTATCTATTCTTCCTTAATAGTAATTTAGCCCTTAGACCCATAATACGGTCTTCCATCCTTACCCTCACTAAACCTCATGCAATGATCGTCTTGTCCTCATTATTTTTACTCATATTATTCCATTTAATTATTAAATAAATTCTAAATAATTATTCTAAAATCCGAATAATTCCAACTAACTTATTTAAATATCAAAATAATTCTCATTATTATTCTAATCCAACACTACCCCACACATAGTATCATCAAACCATCTATTGCACCAAATAAATCACATCAAAGTACTCATCGACGCACAAAATACACAACATCAAATAATTAATCTATTAAAATAGTTCACTAAATAATCAGAATATTACATTTTTCCTCAATGGTTTCGTCTCTTTTTTTTTTTTGTACTAGCTTAAGATTTTTATAGGCTTAGATCTTCAATTGAGATTTATGGTGATTGTTCGTATTTCTTAAGCTTAGGATGTAATTATTGTTATTTTTGTGTAATTGATCCACTTAGGTTTAGAATTTTGGGCTTTGAATGTATCTAAACACATTTCTCTTTGTAAATCGTATCTGCAATATGAATGAAGAATCTTTTTTCTTTCGATTATTATAATTTGATCCATTCTGAATTCACTGAAAAGAAAATTAGGGGTTGGATGAACTTTGGACTCCCCTTTAACCAAATGCGTGGCTATTGGCTTGGATTTTTGGACTTGGACCTTGACTTTAGTCCACAAAACAAAATAATACATGGTAATAATACAAAAGTAACAGACTCTTGATTTGGGTTTCTCTTGTTAATAGACAACAAAACAATGCATCAGAGAAAGAAAACCCAAATGAAGAAAATTTGGGTTTCTCTGGATTTTGTTTTTTCCATAACTTCAACAATAATAACAACAATTTCATTCCGTTTGAAATAAATTAAGATCTTAAATTTGGTAATCAATTTAGCATTTGATTATTTTCGCTTGTTTTGAAGATAGTGTGAGTAGATGGATTTAAAATTGTTCATTTCTATGGTTTATGCATGGGGATTGAAGAAAATATGGAGTTGAATTGGTAGGTTTTCTAATTTGGAGATTTGATGTTGTTGGACTTTTTCATCTAGGTTGATTGAGGAAAAAAGAAAGGGTGAAGATAAATTTTCATGTTAGAGTAATGGGTTGTTTGTATTTGGTTAAGCAAAAAAGAATAAAATGATTTTATTAATATATTATTAAGTTGTTATTATTATTAATAATAATAAAAAATTGGATTAATTTGAAAATAAGTTGGCATTAACATGTCAATACACTAATGCCACATTTAGTGGACATGTTGGGTTGACCCGTTTGACCCGTTATGTTGACGCCTAACCCGTTTACAAAAAGTAAGTCGAGACGGGGAGGAGAGGATTTTCTCCGCGGGCATTTTGTTAAAATTTTTACTCTTTTTATTAAGAATTAAAATAACTTTAGATATAAAAACAATTTTTATCTCTTATGATTGTATTATAAATTATTATACAGACAAATTAAATTGTAATTGTAACGTTCTTTTTATAATTTTCTAATACATGTGTTGATTGAAAATGATTAAAATAAAAGAACAAATGTATAACATGTATAATTATTAAGTTTTCAATATATTAGCTCAGATGTTTTCTTTAGAAATAGATGTTGATGTTATGAAAATGAATGATTTGATTAGTGTATACATGTGTCAAATTTAAGATTTAACTATTAAAGAATCAGTCAATATAAGAGTTTATATAATATAAACAGTGAAAAAGTTTGGTGTTTGTATTTTACGCATTACTATTTATGAATTGTAATATTTTATGTAATGTTATTGTTATCATTGTTGGTTTTGTGTAAATTTTAAATTGGATTCTTTTAGTAGTTAGTTTTTAAATAGAATTAGGATGATATGTATTGTTTATTTATTTTGATATTCTTTATTGTGCTTGAGTTTATTGTTTTTTTGTTGTAATTGGTCTTTATTTATTAAAATTTTTGAATTGTTTGGAATTAAGACATCTTGAAGTTTTATTATGCGTTGTTAAAAAAAAATTTTAATCGACCTCTTTGGTAATAATTAAATTTTTTCTAAATTATGTATTAAATCAAATTGTAAAATTAAAAAAATTAATATTTGGCGTGCCGGCCCGCCAACCCACCATCTCGTTAGTAAACGGGACGAACTTGACTTTTTAGCTCAGACACCTACGTTGGTCCATTCCGCCGCGCCACACTTTTGGACAGACTTAAACGGGACGAGCCTAAATGGGACAGACCGCCCGTTTTGCCACCCGTAATCACATCATTAAAAATAACTTCCAAATTAAAGAGGGGACTAAAATCCAACACAAAATTTAAAAGGGGATTACAATCATAATTTTTAAAATGGAGGAATTAAAAAAATAAAATTGAGAGGCCAAAGTTATAATTAAATTAAAACTTAAATGACTAAATAATCAATGACCAGAACTGTCCTAAAGTAAGAAATATCACAAATAAATACTATTAATAATATTAATATTAGCTCTAATATTATTAATACTAAAATATAAATGATATTTTTTTTACTAACAACCTAATATAATATAAAAACAAAGTTAATAGCAAAAAATGAGACCTAAAGTAAGATAATCTAAAAGTCAAAATAGTTTCTCTTTGATTTTTGGGTCAAAAGAGTTGACTTTGACTTATTTACTTCTAAAAACTTAGATGATCAATGAATGATACAAGTTCTAATCATAAGATGAAACACATGGTTCCAAATTTTGTTTTAATCTACAAAATTGAGGTAGGAATCATTGAATCGAGCGAAGATAAATCCATATACTATTAAGGTTGAAGTGTGAGATATTTGACACACGACACAAATGTCAACATTGTTAAATTTTAAAATATTGAACAATTAATTTAATTACAAAAAATTTTCAAAACAAAATACAATAGTCTAATTCAGTTATAAAAAAAAATAATAATAATAATAATAATAATAATAATAATAATAATAATAAGAATGATGCAATCAAATATAATAACTTTAATTCATTCATTGATCGCTAACTTGCCACATAAGTCAAATACCACACAATGCAAAACATATAACACACTGCAAAACTAAAGAACAGTTTAATGTCCTTGCCCAAGAGAGTAGTACCCCTCACCACCTCATCACATCATAGTTTCCGGAAGTTCAAAGTAGGAACTGATAGAATCATCTTCATTATTATCTTCACGAACTATTCTTCCTTGTGCATTAATGTCAAAGGTTTCAAAAGAAAATGAAAATGTACTAGACATCACATTCACTGAACAATCCACTTTGGTTTCACTTTTTCTTGCTTTTATTGCTTTTACTTTACCAAAACCTGGAAGACAGATTCCAAATGTACAGCATTTCAATCCATCACCATCCTCCATTTTCTTGCTACCCTTTCGAACCTCTTTCATAATAGCTTCGTTTTTATGGAAGCTTTGTTGTTTCTTGTTCTCATTTTTGCTCGGTATCAGATCAAATTCATCCGGGGTGGCATGTGTTTTTCCTTTGCCGTTTGATAAGGACATGCTCTTCCATTGCTTATGATGATTCTTGTGTGTTAAGTTATTTGCCTTACTTGGTAATTCTACACTTTGAGATGATGATGATGATGATGGAAATTTGTGGTTTGAAAGTTGAAGTTGTGGTGGAGGGTGAAATGGGGTGTTTTCTTTTTGAAACATCATCTTGAAAACAAATATTCTTTAAATTTAAGTGCAATACTATGATGTGAATGGTGAATATGTAGATGATTTGTGATTGAACTATTTATAGAAAGAAAAAAAGAGGATTTGAGTAATGTTGTTTCTGTCTCAACATCAATTGAAATTTTCATCTACTTTGGTATCCTCATTTTACATCAATTAACACATGATATTGGCTCTTATGAATTTTCAATATCTTTCGGCATTATGAATGGTTGATTGACTTTAGAAAAATCAACAAGGGACCTAGAAATCTCATTATTTTCTAGTGTATATTTTGTATTGGTTGAAAGAGTTGATTGCACTTTTTTTAATATAGTGAGTGATAGTAGAATATAATATATGGTGCTGAATGACATTTTTTAATTAAGTATACAAATTGTAACGTGCTGACATCAAAAGGAAGGTACTGAAAAAGTACTCATTTAAAGAAGCAGACAAATCATAGAATCTAGGGTCAAACATACCAAATATACCAAATATGTTATGGCATCATTGTATACAAGTATCCATTGTTATTTGGTTTAGAAATGATTGACGTTTGATTTAGTTGGGAGAATTATGATTTGATTTTCCGTAACTCTGTTTGAAAGAAAAATGAAATCACTTAATGTCAGAATTGATTCTCAAAATTAGACTATACAAATTTTCAAAAGAAAAAAAAAGAGTTACAATGTATAAAAATCTTGTTGTTGTAACATTTGTTATAATATAGGTTAAGGTCCATCTAAAAGACACGCAACTCTGGCAATAATCACCTTCAACTTCATAGTGAGAAAAACCAGCTATTCATCCACCGTGATGATTACAAACAATACCACCAACACCTAAGCAAAAAAGTCTTTAAATAAATAAGTAGATGATAAATGACTATCATCATATAATTTTATCGAACAATTGCGTCTCTTTTTAGCTATTGCAATGTGATGTGTCTTAAGTTTAAGAAGAAAAGAGAAGAAAATGAAGAAAGACGATAAAACTAGCCTTTGGAAAATAAATTGTGAAGAAAATATTGCGCAAGTCCCGTGAAGGACGTTTCTTAACTAGTGTAAATAAGGATGAATATGTAACCATCGGACAAGTACTAACGTTTACATAACCAAACTAAAAAGATATAAAGACGACTCCACAACATGACGATCACTCAAAAATTGGTTCCTTGAAGATTCAAATGTTGGATAGATTGACACTTGGACAACAAACTATATAGTCCAACATAACTAAATTTGTGAAGAAAACGTTGTGCAGCCGCGTGAAAATTCGTGGCCAAAATCGTGGCAAGAAAAGCAGTAAATTGTGACACGATATGATATCATCGCTGCACGATCCAGAAGGAATCCAACTCATTGTAGCACGAAAACATGGGTGGTGGCACGATTTTGACATTTTTCTGACGTGTTTTAAAGGAATTTTGATAGATTTGACAACGGTTGGATTTGGTGTGTACGGATTTTGACGAAGTTTGATGAAGGAATACAAAAACAGATCTCTCAAACTAATATTTTTGCCATTAAAGATCAGATTTCTCCTTGAGTTTCATGTATAATTACTTTAAACACTACTATAAATACTATATTTTATCACAAAGTTTTCACCCAATAAAAAACTGAGATAAAATTCCAAAACACGCTACGTTATTTATTTTCAAAAAATTATCATTTATTTTCTCGGTTTAAGAACAAAATCGAAGGATAAGCTATGTCAAGGTACATGTTTCGAGTCCCAACAACTGCAATTTTGTTTTTTTATTTAAAAGTGACGTCTTTCTTATTATTTAAGATTTTAGTTTATTATTAAATATTCTATTCCCACGGTTTCTAATATTACCGAGGGGTATGATAATCAGATTTTACTACAAAAGAATTCTTTTACTAAGTTTTACCATAAACATAACTCAGATATTCAACCGCTCCATACTCTCAAACATCAATATTTATGATGGATTGTGAGATAGAAAATTATTTGGTTATGTGTTGTTCTTCTTACACCAACCTTTAACAAATCATTTTTCTATTCTTGTAATCTATCTCACGTAATAATGTTATTTTTATTGTTGTTGTTGTTTCCACCTATTGTAAATGTTTAATGAAATAACTTAATATTGTTAATCAAAGAAAACTTTCTAAATGAATCAGATTCAAAATTTGTATTATATTTTTCTTTAATATTATATGTAAACAATGTAATATTCAGTGTAAACAATTTAATTTGTAAACAATTTAATTTAATATTATGTGTAAACAATGTTATTTATATTTAAAAGTAATAGTTATTTATCCCCTTGATTTTGGTCATAAACCAAGAGGAAAGTGGTGCTAGTTTTGAAAATATAAAAATGTTGTTGTTAGGGATCGAACCAATGACCATTTTAATTATTCCTTTAGTTAATCAGAAATAGAGGGAAAAAGTGACAAGTTTTCATGACGCTCCTTGTTACCTTGGTTGTTCCATCGAAGTAAAATCTCGTTCGCGCTCGAGATAAGATGTGTTTTTTGTAGTAGTGAAACTATTAGTTATGAATTCTGTTAGTATGATCCAATGATTAGGTCTTATCAGATTAACCTATTTTGATCTAATGGGGTATGTGATATGTTTTATATTATTTGCTTAAATTGATATTGCAGTTTCTATTTAGTTACTCTTTTGTGTATTATTTTTTATGTATTGACGAGTGATGACATCTCGGTAAATGTACCGATAGTGTCGAAGTAATAAATAAGATCGTACCCACATGGAATGCTATTTAATCATATAAATAATGTGCAATGTTTAGTAAGTAACAAAAGGGGGGTTTTCAAGTTTAAAATGAAAAAAAAAATTTGTTCTCACAATTATGAGAAAGTGATCATGTTTTGCCTAGAATCCCTTATTTCTCTCTATTGATGTCTAATGCATTATATGAATGAAACTTTTTTATATTTCCACGGAGAATTAACACAATCACTCTCCCCAATATCTTGGTGTATAACTCACTAATTTCTATTAGAGGTCTCATATCCCTATTCAAACGGTGAAAGTGAAACCAGGCGATGTAACAATACGTTAATTCTAATATCACTACCAGAGGTCTCCTAACCCTATTCAATCGGCGTAAGTACAATAATTTCCCTAGTTCAAACACATAGGTTAAGGGTCAGTATTCTCTATACGCCCATGATCACCTTAACATAGTATCTCAAATAATGCACGTTAAGTAAAAGAGGCAATTAAATAGAAATATAACTAAGATTAATCATGCACTATCAAATTAAACATATGTCCCAACAAGTTCAAAATAAGTTCATCGGACAAAAGATAACCTAAGAGTATTTAGTTGCTCATACTGATTCAATTATAATATCAAATAATAAGAAGAATGTTGCATAAGAAAATCCTTGAAGATCTGGCCTCCAATGACTTTGAATGCGCTACAAATCTCACATCCGATGTTGAAATTCGTCACTTGCCGTCTAAAATCGCATAACCCTTGAAAAGATGCCGAAATTCTCCTTTTAAAGCCTTTAGATCATACTAAAATGCGACATATTTTTCTTAGAAAAAGGGACAGTCGCGCATGTTAAGGACAACATCGCACGCATGATGCAAATTTGTTAGCCCCATCACGCACGCGATAGCGCGATGGTCAGCGTGATTTTTCCAGAAAGTTGCTCACTGTTTTCTCTTTTTCCAACCAAATTTCTCTAAGTCCATATTTCTCATAGCACATGCAAAATAAATGGAAAGTAAAGATATGTATAGTTTCAGGGGCATGAGTAGAACACTTTTCATTCACAAACCTAGAGCTAACAATGCCTATGTTGAGAGATAGAAGTTCATGAATATACCTGCTCAGTTGGAATCGTGTCTGGCAATGGAGGAGTTTTCAGGGCAAGATGATGATTTGTACAGCTTGCTTGAAGTGTGAGGATGCTATTCCAATACTTGGTATGCTTTGAAACCTTCTATACCAAGCTGCAGAAGTCAACCTGCAAGAAGAAGAAATGAAAATGGCCAAACTGATTAGAGGAGTTACAGTCTACTTCTAATGCTTTGGATAGTTTGGATTGATGGTAAGGAAAGTGTTTGAACTGGTTTTGGCCAAGATGCACGATGGAAATGAGCTGTGGGATTCAAGTTGCAGAATATGCCCTGTTTTGCCACAAAACTGTGATTTTCTGTGTATGGATGGATGAAGGGTTGTTTGGTCGTGCTTTAGGTCAGTTAGGGAGTGTGAAATGTGAGGACAAAGTTTTATTAGGTTGGTCTTTGCAGGAATGTGTTGTGTTGTACAAAATGCAAGCTTTCTTCTTACTTAAGCAAAAGTTGTCAAGTTGGTTCCTAGGCCAAGGCAGGTCCCTCCTAATGTGCTGCACACTTAGTCTTGATCAGTGTAATTAGTCTAATAACTTGTGCCAAAAGGATATGCACTGTACTTGCTTGGATTGCCAATTGACATAAAGTTCCACTTTTGCAAAAATGGCCATTATGCTTTTTCTACTTTGGGACTAAACCTCTATGCAATGCTTGAACACATAAAATATGGTCTTGTCACAATGAGTTTGCATTAACTTTATGAGTGCAAAAGGGATTTAGGGCCAGTAATCAAGAAATGCAAGCTGAGTTCAAAATTGCCTAAGTGTATGGACATGTAATTTGGTCATGAACAAAGTGAGTTTTTCCCATATTGCCAAATTCGATTCTCTCTAACCATGAGGTTGTTTGATGAGTTCTTGGACATTTTGGAAAGCTTGGAATGTGTACTACAATCCATCTTTGAAATGCAAATTTAAATTCCAAGTGGAAGTATGTGAAAAATGGTCTTGAAGTTAGGTAAAAACCTTGCCTAAAATAGGTCAAATTTTCTCTAAGTTAAGAATGGTTTGGTACCCTTGTTCCAAAAATTGTAACTTGAGCTACAAGCTTCTTTTGGGAAAACTTTGTGAATCAAAGTTGTAGATTTTGCAATAGGCTACAAATTTCATGTTTTGACTTTTCCTTGAATC